GATACCCAGCTATATCTGTCTATAAATCCAGATGAAGCTAACCCATTACATAGATTACAGGCATGTCTTGAAGACATAAAAACCTGGATGACTCTTAACTTTCTGCTTCTGAATGCAGACAAAACAGAAGTTATAGTCTTTGGACCAGAGTCTCTGAAAAAGAAGCTGATTAGCCAGTCACTTCATTTGGATGGGATTAAACTGATTTCAGATAATAAAGTAAAAAATCTTGGTGTTATTTTTGATCAGGACCTGTCATTTAAATCCCATATCGAAGAGGTTTCTAGAATTTCCTTCTTTCATCTGAGGAACATTGCAAAAATCAGAAATATCCTGTCCAGGGGTGATGCTGAGAAACTAGTCCATGCATTTGTTACTTCAAGGCTGGACTATTGTAATTCTTTACTATCAGGAAGTCCACAAACTGTAGTTAAAAGCCTTCAGCTGATCCAAAATGCTGCAGCCAGAGTTCTGATGAAAATTAAAAAGAGAGATCACATCTCTCCTATCCTGGCTTCTCTTCATTGGCTTCCAGTTAAATCCAGAATAGAATTTAAAATCCTCCTTCTCACATATAAAGCCTTAAATGGCCAAGCTCCATCTTATATCAGAGATCTGATTGTTCCTTATGTTCCTAACAGAGCACTTCGCTCTCAATCTGCAGGTTTACTGCTGGTTCCTAGACTTTCTAAAAGTAGAATGGGAGGCAGATCTTTTAGTTATCAGGCTCCTCTCCTGTGGAACCGACTACCAGTTTTAGTCCGTGAGGCAGACACCCTGTCTACTTTTAAGGGTAGGCTTAAAACTTTCCTTTTTGATAAAGCTTATAGTTAGGGTGGCTCAGGTTATCCTGAGCTATCTCTATAGTTATGCTGCTATAGGCTTATACTTCTGGAGGACATAGGGAACCCCATTTCATCATTCTGCTTCATTCTCTCTCTGTTCTCCTATTGTGCAGAATCTGTTAGTTCAATCTCTAACCTTCTGCTCTCTCTGCTTTTCCTCAGAGTAGCTTTGCCTCGTCTGTTCCCGTTTGGCTGTGACGTCATCCTGGAAAGAAACATCAGCTGTGCTGCTTCCATCAACACCCTGGTTTATAGATGTTGTAGATCGGTTTTCAAGTGTAGTCCTGTGACTGGGTGGATGTGCTCTCTTCACCCTCTGGCGTGGGAGCTGGCTCGGAGCTCGTCTGCCTGGCTGTGTGTTTCCTGGACGGGGCCGCCTTTTACAGCTGTGTCTCTGCTTCTGTCTCCTTGAACCCCAGTCGGCCTCGGCAGATGGCCGCTCACACTGAGCCTGGTTCTGCTGGAGGTTTCTTCCTGTTAAAAGGTAGTTTTCCTTTCCACTGTCGCTACAAGCATGCTTAGTGTGAGGGATTGTATTTGAGTCAATGGAATCAACTGGTTTTCCTTAGATAGAAAACTTTGTATCAATTTGACTGTATGATCTGGTTGAACTGTAAAGTGCCTTGAGAGGACATGTGTTGTGAATTTGGCGCTATATAAATAAACTGAATTGAATTAAATGGAGTGACAAGATAACTCGGATGCTATAGGCTTTATCAGGATTCTGTGCCGATCCAATTTTACATCTCACAGAAAGAATAACTGGAAAACCCTATCAAGTAAAAACTTCATACTTTATTTGCATTTATTTCAAAATATACTATTAAGGTGTAAAACTGTGATTGTGTTCAACTATCAAATATATTCCTCCACTGAATAAATATCTTATTTTCATGTACTTCATTGCGATTATGCTGCTGCAGTAAAATATGTATTTTTATACCAATAAATTTTCTACTTCTGTGAAATCCAGACTTTAAATATTAAGCTAAAAAAAAAAAAATCATCAATAAGCATTAATGGTATGTAGATGGCAACTAGGCTGTATTGATTGGACTGTCTGCCACAGTGTATTCACAATAAATGGTCGGAAATTACTTAAACTCTTTATTGATCCAGTTACAGAAACCTCTGATGCATCTGTAATGCACTGTATAAAAACACTTAAAAAAAGTATTCAACAGAGCACCGGAGTTATTCACAAGACTGAGGCTTACGATGAAATGGCAACCAATCACAAATCTATGTAGGTGGATAGTCAGACAGAACATTTGCAAACATTTTGACCTAAAGCTGCATTGTTTGGATCTATGTGCTCTTACAAAGACGGCAGGGAAAAAACAAACTCATCCTGGATTAGTGTTGGTCAAGCAATTCTCATTAATGACCAATATGCTAAACAGCAGTAAGCTTAGCAGAGGTAGGTGTCTTATGGTGGGGGTGGGGATATAGAACACCAAACAAGCAGTAACATCTCCCATCTGATTGTATGCTGTAATTAATGCTAAAAGTATCAAATGATTTAGTGCTATAGTAAAAAAAAGTAGTTCCTGCTTCTTGGAGGAGAGACAAGTAAATCGAATAGTATGCTTAAACCCCCTAAAAATTTATGCAAAACGTATGGACAAAAGGAGTAAGGTCTTAAATGCGTTAAAATCTTACATGTCAATGGCTGAAGGGTGAAAAATATCCCAGGCCATTGGTTGCTGGGTACATCCATTTGTCTGTCAGCAATAAAATTATTTCTAAATAATGATAAACCATCTGGGTTTGTATTGCACCAAAGAAAGCTTCTAAGTACACAGTAGGACGTAGAGGTGGGACATGGGATGTGCAAAACATGGGAGGATAAGGGACATGTGTAGTGGGATTAATAATCTCACGCAGGGCAGTGCAAGAAGTAGCAACTAATTAAATGCTGGAAGTGATAGAAATAGACAAATCTAGATTAAGACTAACCTAAAATCACAAGTTATTTTTTTTTTATCCTACAGCTGCTTAATGGGACTTAATGCAGAGCATGTAGCCAATGCAAGCAAGGAGATGTAAAGACAAAAAATAAAATAAAAAAAACTTAGAGGGAATGGCCACCTACTAGATAACTAACAGGGAAAAAGTATCAAATGAGTTAAAATGGAGCAGAAACATTTCCTTCATTGAAAGCATACTCTGTGGTTAAAACAAACTAAGGGCTCGGATTAAAAGAAATTTGTTAGTTTGACAAAAAAAAAAAAATCTACGATTTAATGCAAAACGGATTAAATTTAGGACTTTAAGAGTGCCAAAATAAGAGCAGTTATAAATATCAAAGTACAGGTTTTAGAGGAGTGATTTTTAAATAGTAAAATAATTACAGGTGCTGGTCATAAAATTAGAATATCATGAAAAAGTAGATTGATTTCAGTAATTCCATTTAAAAAGTGAAACTTGTATATTATATTCATACATTACATACAAACTCATATATTTCAGATGTTTATTTTGTTTAATTTTGATGATTACAAATGACAACAAATGAAAATCTCAAATTCATCATATCAGAAAATTAGAATATTGTGAAAAGGTTCAAAATTGATGGCCCCTGGTGCCACACTCTAATCAGCTAATTAACTCAAACCACCTGCAAAAGCCTTTAAATGGTCTTTCAGTCTAGTTCTATAGGCTACACAATCATGGGGAAGACTGCTGACTTGACAGTTGTCCAAAAGACGACCATCGACACCTTGCACAAGGAGGGCAAGACACAAAAGGTCATCGCTAAAGAGGCTGGCTGTTCACAGAGCTCAGTGTCCAAGCACATTAATAGAGAGGCGAAGGGAAGGAAAAGATGTGGTCGAAAAAAGTGTACAAGCAAGAGATAACCGCACCCTGGAGAGGATTGTGAAACAAAACCCATTCAAAAATGTGGGGGAGATTCACAAAGAGTGGACTGCAGCTGGAGTGAGTGCTTCAAGAACCACCACACACAGACGTATGAAAGACATGGGTTTCTGCTGTCGCATTCCTTGTGTCAAGCCACTCTTGAACCACAGACAGCGTCAGAAGCGTCTTGCCTGGGCTAAAGAGAAACAGGACTGGACTGCTGGTGAGTGGTCCAAAGTCATGTTCTCTGATGAAAGTAAATTTTGCATTTCCTTTGGAAATCAAGGTCCCAGAGTCTGGAGGAAAAGAAGAGAGGCACTTCATCCACGTTGCTTGAAGTCCAGTGTAAAGTTTCCACAGTCAGTGATGGTTTGGGGTGCCATGTCATCTGCTGGTGTTGGTCCATTGTGTTTTCTGAGGTCCAGGGTCAACGCAGCCACATACCAGGAAGTTTTAGAGCACTTCATGCTTCCTGCAGCTGACCAACTTTTTGGAGATGCAGATTTCATTTTCCAACAGGACTTGGCACCTGCACACAGTGCCAAAGCTACCAGTACCTGGTTGAAGGACCATGGTATCCCTGTTCTTAATTGGCCAGCAAACTCTCCTGACCTTAACCCCATAGAAAATCTATGGGGTATTGTGAAGAAGAAGATGCAATACACCAGACCCAACAATTCAGAAGAGCTAAAAGCCACTATTAGAGCAACCTGGGCTATCATAACACCTGAGCAGTGCCACAGACTGATCGACTCCATGCCACGCCGCATTGCTGCAGTAATACAGGCCAAAGGAGGCCCAACTAAATACTGAGTGCTGTACATGCTCATACTTTTCATGTTCATACTTTTCAGTTGGCCAACATTTCTATAAATCCTTTGTTTTTATTGGTCTTCAGTAATATTCTAATTTTCTGATATGATGAATTTGAGATTTTCATTTGTTGTCATTTGTAATCATCAAAATTAAACAAAATAAACATCTGAAATATATGAGTTTGTATGTAATGTATGAATATAATATACAAGTTTCACTTTTTAAATGGAATTACTGAAATCAATCTATTTTTTCATGATATTCTAATTTTATGACCAGCACCTGTACACATAAAAAATAAAATGAAAAAAAGTGGTGTTGACCTTCATATTGTGACACTGTTGCTGCAGTCGAGCTCCATCATCCTTAACAGCAAAGTGACACAAAAGGAATCACTTTATAAATATTTTACCAATTTAAATTCTTTAAAATTAATGAGTTGTTTATATATATGTTCAGAGAAAAGAAGCACATACATATCCATAGATAAAAATAGTGCAACATCAAGCTTTTTTTTTTTTTTTTTCCCCTCAAGTTAGACAGCTAAAGATTGCTGGGTGTAAGACTGAACCATAGTGAGGGGGTCAGTCCATGTAGACAGCATGACGTCTGAAGGCACCAGGTTAAAACCATAGCCGCCTTCCCAGGAAGAGGAGGCCCCTTGCTTCATTTAGGGCTAATTTCTGCCAAAAGAAAAAGAAAATTATTTCAATTTGATGCATTCTGAAATGTAGAAATAAGTGAAAAATCAAAGAGATAAAAGTTACCGAACACATAGTCGCACCATCTCGGCCCAGTGAAGCCTCTCACTCGCGATTGTCTCAACACTTTTGCTGGTGGTGGGGGTTGAACTATTGCTGGGGATATTTCCCCAGATTGTTTTTGTTTACCCCTCTGCTTCCCTTTTAGCACAGACACAAGTGCAGAGTTGGACAGCTTTCTTGAGCAAGTCTTGCTGTTCGAGCTTTTTCTCTCATTTCTCACAGCTTTATCAACTCCTTCCAGGTCCTTCTCCTTTCCTTCAAAAATGTCCGTAGAAAGTGAGCCGTTATCCAGTGTAACAGTGCAGGAGTCCCCTTCCGTTGACTCATTGTCTGGAGAGTTGATCTTTCTCAGAAACACGCGGCATTCCTTTAGCTTCTCGGGACTCCAGGCTTTTGAGGAGAGCTTCTGCTCTTTGTTGACAACCGCATGCTTCAAGGTTTGATCGACAGCACAGGTAAAGCTTTTCTGAAGAGATTCAGACAGCTGCCTTTTCACTGATCTGTGTAATGCTTCTTGATTTGACTGCCGGACAGTTGCTATCGGTCTGTTTGAGTACACCATTTTTCTTTTGTTTATCTTTTTACCTTTACAATTTTTCAATCTCATCTTTTCTTTTAGAGCCAGGAACCTTCTTCTCATTCTAAACAAAATGGCCCAAAATTGAGCAGACAAGCTAGATCTCCACATGACTCCTCGATTGAGCTTGCCCATTGCAAACAGTCTTCGACGTCTCAGATAAGCCTTTTGCTTTTTCATCTGGTGTAGCTGAGCCTGCTGATGCTGCAGAGGAGTTTTTGGAATGGTCTTGGCAAACTTTTTTAGGTGTTTGCGGAGTCGCTCTGCCTGAGGACTGTTGCAAACAGTGTTTTTATTGGCAGAACGAGGAAAGTGCATGATTTCAAAAGGATTAGGGGAGCTCGCTTTCTTAATAGCCAGAGACTGTGTCTCTGTGGTCTGCATAAACCAGGAACAAATCTGCTGCATGCTACAGGACCTGGGTTCATTGGGTGGACAATCAAACAGTGCTCGGACCACAGAGGACTCTTTAGATTTATTGGTATCTGGGCTTTTTGTATTAGAGTCTAGATTTGAATTATGGACAACTTTGTCTCGGTCGTTGGCAGCATTGGCTACCCAGGTATCAGAGATTACTCTTATCCGTCTAGCAAGCTCTTGATTCATTGGCTTTTCTTTAGCTGATGCTGCCCACCAAAGCACTGGCTTTCTTGGGCTGAAGATTGAATCTAATGACACCTTTGAAACTTTGTTCAGATCTTGAGTGATTTTCTCTCTCTCCCTCTTACAGGGCCGTCTTTTCAGTAGCTTAGTTTCTGCACGTCCTTGTTTGTCCTCCTGTCTCCTTTCATTGCTAGTCTTATTTATAAGATGCTGCTTGGAACGCCGCAACAGTGCATTACTGCACTTGTATGAAGAGGTAGCAACAGCATGTAGAAAGTGTATGGAGGGTTTCCTCTCCCTTTCTGAGTGGCGCAGTGCTACATTCTGATTTGGCAGTTTATGTTCCTTTCCATTTTTTGTTTCCATCAAGTCAGTTTGATTACTTGTGATTGGTAACTGGGTGTTGCTTTTGCAAAGCTCTTTTGCAGATTCTGGTGGAATTTTGTTTTGAGAAAGTTGCTTTTTAGGCGATATCCGTGTCTCTCTATTTATCTGAATTTGGCGTTGACGAGGTGATGTGGCAGTGACCGTGACAGAGATTCCAGAGATCTTAATTTTTGCAGGTCTTCCTGGTTTCCTGGAGGGTGCAGATTCATTCTGTTTCTGGGTTTTGATGGTGCTGCCTGACTGAGGTTCGGGCTCCTTTGCAGGACCTACAAAACTGAATTCTTCTGGAAATAATTTCATGATACCTGAACTGCTAGAGCAGTGCAGCAAAATCCCCAATTCACTTTTAATATCCACTGCTTGGTAACTATTATTGGAGTCTGATTGGAGATGGTCGATAACCTCGGAGACGACTCGCTTGTTTCTCCTTGAACGACCATAAACAACAGTTATTTTAAGGTTCTTCTTGATGTTGTCCTCAGTGACAGTTGTAGCACATTTTCCAATTGGTGACTTGGAGCCTGCTACACTATTTTCTTGCTTTTGCTTTCGAGGTCTGCCAATGGGCCTTTTTACTTTTTGTTCAAGCTGTGGTCCTAGCTTTCTTGGCCGACCTGGCCTTCGTTTTGGAGGAGTTGTTTCACACTGGAACAAAAGTTTACATGGTGATCGCTGATCCTCGGTTTCAGATAAACGTCTGGACAAAGTACCACCACCTGATGTTCTTGGACTGGGTTTAGGTGATGACGCGGTTGACCTAGGCGAGGTTTGACGCTTTGGTGAGTTGGCCGGTGATGATGTATGTGAGATACCAGCTTTTGCTGGTGATGGACTCTGCTTTAAGGGGGAAACAGCATGCTCCTTGCTTTGGCTTTTGTTCTTCTGAGGTGTCCCTGACCATGAGGACTCTACACATGGGTCAAATGCCACCTCTGTTTGTGAATTAGAATCTGCTGATTTAAGACTATATACTCCTTCATTGTCCTTCACTGGGTATACGTACATGAGCTTGATTGGACTGACATACTGAACTTTATTGTTCAGTGGGCTGCAGTCATTTGGTGAATTTTGGAGCATCTTCAAAGCTTTTAGCCTTTTAGATGACCGCAGCTTTCCATATGAAGACCCATCAACATTATCCTTTTCTTTCACAGGGCTGTTCATGTTATAATGCTCTTTTTCAATGGAAAATGTTTTCGGCGATATCTGGCATTCACCCTTGGACTGTGTACCTGTTGGTTCAGGTGGTTCCTCTGCCGTTGATTCAAAGGTAAGATTCCCTATACATTTTTGTGTATAAAGATTTGCTTTACTCTCCTGGGTGCCTTTAATTTCAACACGTGAGGGATTATAAACAGGAGCATGGCTTACGAAGTAGGAAGAAAAACGAGGTGGAGGGACGATGTTTCTCGTGGATTTCCTTACTCCACTAGACTGATCTAACTTACAGTTATTCCCCTCATTCACAGGACTACAAGCTGTGGCGTTTTCACGGCTCCATCCACTACCTGTGACTAAAATGGGATTCACTGATACTGTCTGTGTTTGGACGTCATCTTGGCAGAGTTGTCCATAAAGATGTTTAGTTTTAGAAATGGTTAACCCATCTTTTCTCTCTTTTTTTATTGTCTGTAGTTTATCTGTTACAATCATAGCCTTCATCTCTTCCTCAGCTTTGTCCCTTTCACTTTTTGAAGAAATTGTGCATGGTGTTCCCTTAGCAATCTCATGATTCTTAACCAGTTTAATTCTCGCGACTTTTTTTCCACAAGCTTCTTTAATTAGATCTTGTTCAGATGAAGTGATAGGTGTATCTAGAGAATAATTCTCTTCTTTCAACTTTATTCTCTTTGATGGGGTGCCTTTCCCCCGATTGTACGGCAGACAAAAAGTGGCAAGCTTCCGTTTTTCTGCTACAATTTTCCTCCTGGCGCAAGCATCATCAGCAGGTGTGGCAATGGCCTCCTGAATTTCCCGCCTGCGACGGGAACGGGTATTAGGTGACTTTGATTCTTTGTTACAATGGAGATTGAACTGATCATTAAAACTGTCTTCACTAGCACTGCCTGTATGGAGCACTGTTCTGATTATTTCCTCTAGATGGGCATCAGGATGGAAGGATTGAATGGTTGAATACTTGGGCAGTTCAGAACTACCGAGAGCCGAGACTGAATCTTTGTCAAGTGGTTTAATGCTCTCTATTTTATGAGTGAAGTGACTGACAACATCCTGCAGCAAACTTCTCCCAGGGTTCTGTTCTGGCTGATAATGTCCTATCTCGGCATCTGCATCCACACCTGCGGTAGTGTAGTCATGACCACTGTGACTGTTTTTAACATTTGGTTCAGCTTCCTCACTGTGAGTTTGGTTGGTAAGCAATGGTGGCTTTCCATGTGTGTTTTTACTGATTCTATCATGGGTGATAGGTAAAAGATGAGGAGGGGAAGGACTCCGTTCTCCTTCTGTTCTGGACAAACTGAGCTGGAGCTGCTTTAATCTTGGTATCTTTACACAGTCTGCTGCCGTCATTCTCTTGCAGTTAGGGGTGTTAGATTCATTTAAAGGGATGTAATGGGATGTTAAATCTACTTCTTGGTTAACACCACAACGCCGACATTGAGACTCAGTGTGATCAATTGATCTAAGATTATGGAATGGAGGTAATTTTTCCTGAAGAGCAAATTTAAGGATTTGGTAGAGTAAAGACTTGTGTGTTGAGCAGAGAGAATGTAGAATGGCATCCAACGTTGAAGGCTGGTGTAACTTAGTCTCTCGCTGTCCCACAACTCCCCGTTGTGTAACAGATGGCAGACTGAAGCTGAAGATAGAAATGCAAAATCTTAATTTAGAGGGATAAACTGAAACATGCAGGTTAGTATATATACACACACACTTAAAAATGCATCAGAATAGCAATAAATTGATCAGATTATAAATCGTGTTACAAATAGTAAAACCTGCCATAATAAACTGAATTTCTCTGCACAGTAAAAGATGCTTTCAAATTGCAAATTGATGTGATTATGGCTTCTTTGTATCACCTACAATGGTGATACAAAGTAGTCAGTGCACAGCGTACAATTTTCCTGTCAATTATGGTGGTAGGAGTGTCATGAGTGCGAAAAGCTATGAGTCATTAATGGAACCATATATGTCAAAAAGTTGTGCAACACACATCAGTAGAGTATAAGCCCTTCCCTTTAGAGACTTAGCTACAGGGCAGTATCCCAACATGACTACTCTAAGAAAACCTTCAAGACAACTTACCATGTAAGCAAGATTAATTATCGTGAGATTTGTGAATTCACAAACTCCTGATAATATATCTTGCCAGAAGCCAACAGATACATAAGTCTTGACACAGTGACATGTCATATAGTCGTATAAAAAATTTTGGGTAAACCTATTCATCTTAATTTTCTTAATCTAATCCCCTATTAATCTTAAATTTTTTTTTTTATTTCAAAATATTTGTGTGTTTGCAACAGCTATATCAGTTTGATATATCTAATAACTGATGGACACACTAATATTTCAGTATTGAATTGAGGTTTATTGTACTAACAGAAAACGTGAAATATGCATGAAAACAAAACTCGACAGGTGAAAAAATTTGGGTAGCCTAATTCTTTTATTGATTTGAATACCCTTAACTACTTTTCACTGACTTTCTGAAACACAAAATTGGTTTGGTAACTTCATTAAGATTTGAACTTCATAGTCAGGTGCATCCAATCTTGAGAAAATGTATCAAAGGTGGCCAGTTGCAAGTTGTTCTCCTGTTTCAAGATTCATCATGGGCACCTCAAAAACAACTCACAAATTATCTGAAAATTGTTCAACATAGTCGTTCAGGGGAAGGAAACAAAAATTTGTCTTAGAGATTTAAACAGTCAGTTTCCACTGTGAGGAACATAGTAAGGAAATGGAAGACCACGGGGACAGTTCTTGTTAAGCCCAGGCCTAGCAGGTCAAGAAAAATATAAGAGAGGCAAAGAAGAAGAATAGTGAGAATAGTCAAGGACTATCCATCATGCTTTGGGGCTGCGTTGCCAATGCAGGCACTTGGAATCTTGTTAAAGTTGATGGTCGCATGGATTCCGCTTAACATCAGCAGATTCTTGAGAATAATGTTCAAGATTCAGTTACAAACTTGAAGTTAAGCTGGGGATGGATATTTCAGCAAGACAATGATCCAAAAAATTGCTCCTAATCTACTCAGGCATTCATGCAGAGGAACAATTACAATGTTCTGGAATGGCCATCCCAATCCCCAGACCTGAATATCATTGAACATCTGGGGGATAATTTAAAGCAGGCTGTCCATGCTCAGCTGTGGAGAGGCTGTCCATGCGTTTTGCAAAGTTCTGCAAAGAAGAAAAGTTCAAAAATCCCTTCAGCCAGGATCCAGGAACTCATTAAAGCTACAGGAAGCGACTAGAGGCTGTTTTTGCAACAGGGGGGTCTACTAAATATTAATGTCTCTCTTTTGCTGAGGTGCCCATATTTTAGCACCTGTCAAATTTTGTTTTAATGCATACTGCACATTTTTCGTTAGTCCAATAAACCTCAATTCAATACTTAAATATTACTGTATCCACCAGTTATTAGGTACACTATATTGCCAAAAGTATTTGCTCACCCATCCAAATTATTGGAATCAGGTGTTCCAATCACTTCCATGGCCACAGGTGTATAAATTCAAGCACCTAGGCATGCAGACTGTTTTTACAAACATTTGTGAAAGAATGGGTCGCTCTCAGGAGCTCAGTGAATTCCAGCGTGGAACTGTGATAGGATGCCACCTGTGCAACAAATCCAGTCGTGAAATTTCCTCGCTCCTAAATATTCCACAGTCAACTGTCAGCTGTATTATAAGAAAATGGAAGTGTTTGGGAACGACAGCAACTCAGCCACGAAGTGGTAGGCCACGTAAACTGACGGAGCGGGGTCAGCGGATGCTGACGCGCATAGTGCGAAGAGGTCGCCAACTTTCTGCAGAGTCAATCACTACAGACCTCCAAACTTCATGTGGCCTTCAGATTAGCTCAAGAACAGTGCGCAGAGAGCTTCATGGAATGGGTTTCCATGGTCGAGCAGCTGCATCCAAGCCATACATCACCAAGTGCAATGCAAAGCGTCGGATGCGGTGGTGTAAAGCACGCCGCCACTGGACTCTAGAGCAGTGGAGACGCGTTCTCTGGAGTGACGAATCGCGCTTCTCCATCTGGCAATCTGATGGACGGGTCTGGGTTTGGCGGTTGCCAGGAGAACGGTACTTGTCTGACTGCATTGTGCCAAGTGTAAAGTTTGTTGGAGGGGGGATTATGGTGTGGGGTTGTTTTTCAGGAGCTGGGCTTGGCCCCTTAGTTCCAGTGAAAGGAACTCTGAATGCTTCAGCATCCCAAGACATTTTGGACAATTCCATGTTCCCAACTTTGTCGGAACAGTTTGGAGCTGGCCCCTTCCTCTTCCAACATGACTGTGCACCAGTGCACAAAGCAAGGTCCATAAAGACATGGATGACAGAGTCTGGTGTGGATGAACTTGACTGGCCTGCACAGAGTCCTGACCTCAACCCGATAGAACACCTTTGGGATGAATTAGAGCGGAGACTGAGAGCCAGGCCTTCTCGTCCAACATCAGTGTGCAACCTCACAAATGCGCTTCTGGAAGAATGGTCAAAAATTCCCATAAACACACTCCTAAACCTTGTGGACAGCCTTCCCAGAAGAGTTGAAGCTGTTCTAGCTGCAAAGGGTGGACCGACGTCATATTGAACCCTATGGATTAGGAACGGGATGTCACTTAAGCTCATATGTGAGTCAAGGCAGGTGAGCAAATACTTTTGGCAATATAGTGTATATCAAACTGAAATAGCTGTTGCAAACACCCAAATATTTAGTAATAAAAATAATTAAGATTAAAAGGGGTGCCCGAACTTTTTCATATGACTGTACCTACAGTTACATGTACGACGTCAATGTGTCAACCAGATGCAGAAGGCTGAAGGAAAACAAACATGGATGTGCTGGTTTTAGGTGGAATATCTGCTATTTCTTTTTAAAAACCAGCCAAAGGACTGGATTTGTGACTTTGTGGATGGGAAAGAGTTTCACACGTTCTTCCTGACAAGATTTCGCAAGAGTTTGATTTATCAGTCAACTCTGATTGCTATGAAACAAATCAAGAATGTTATATGTCACAGCTTGCTACTCTGATTGGCTAAAAACTCAACTTGGGACATGATTTACTCAAAACTGTACTGAATGTCCCTCTCTTTTGTGAACACTTTCAACAGGAGGCTTAGCAGATTGATACTGTGCAGAATTCAAATGTAACTAAACAGATTACAAGACAAACAAAATTCAAGTGTAACGTGCTGGATTTGCCAAGCATTTCTTTAAACCTTCAAAATATTGAGCATTTGTGGGGTAGCCTTAAAGGAAACGTGGAGGAACACAGGTCATTTAGTCAAGGAATATCCTAATGGCAGCTTGTGAAGGTCTACTGAACTCAATGCCCAAAGAGAACTTACTTAGCATCACATTTCTCTCAAATGAAGGTTGAAATCATTGAGGTAATAATGCCTATGAGATTAAAGCCATCAGCTAATAACTGGGGAGGTCAAACCATAAAGAGTTACCACCCTGCAACTTTTAGATGGATCTCTTCGACAAATCTTAACTGAATGGCTCACTGAAGGTTAAATAACATGCTGATGAGGGGATTAAGATACTTCTGGTTTGTTGAGAAAGTGATATATCAAAAAAGTATTCCACTGAATCTTAGCCGATTTCTATAAGCTTTTCTTATACTGTTCACTAGGGATGGGAATCGAAAACCGGTTCCATTCAGAACCGGTTCCGTGTGTTCCAAATCCATGGCACCATTTGGCAGCTAGCTTAACGATTCTCTTAGCGATTCCAGGCAGCACCAAAGCCTAGCGTTGGGCAGCAAGACTCACGTCACGTTTTTTACGCAAGTTACAAACATGGCATTCAGTAAGCAAGTACGACGTGACCAGGCGTAAGTCTAGAAAAGCAAAACAAAAGCGTTCAATGCGATCGAAAGTTTGGCTTCATTTTAGGGAAGCAAAAGCTTCATTAGATGTAGATGACTGTGATGGCAAGGGTAGCCTGGCTGGCTCAGAGGCTGGCAGCTTCTGTTCACTGCCTTCTGTTTTCACCGAGGCAGGCAGAAATAGAATGTCCAAGGCGAAGGTAAGGCACTCACCAAGTTAACTGTTAACAGAATCGATAAGAGAATTGATAAGTAATCAAATTGTTTCACAGAATTGATAAGAGAATAAATAAGTAATCAAATCGTTTCACAGATTTGATAAGATAATCGATAAGGACTCGAATCGTTTAACAGAATTGATAAGAGAATCAATAAGTAATCAAATCGTTTCACAGAATTGATAAGAGAATCGATAAGGAATCAAATCGTTTCACAGAATTGATAAGATAATCGATAAGGAATCGAATAGTTTCACAGAATTGATAAGAGAATCGATAAGGAATCGAATAGTTTCACAGAATTGATAAGAGAATCAATAAGGAATCGAATCGTTTCACAGAATTGATAAGAGAATCAATAAGGAATTGAATCGTTTCACAGAATCGATAAGAGAATCGGAATCTTTGAAATTGTATCAATTCCCAACCCTACTGTTCACAATGATATTTAGAAAACAAATTTGCATTGAATCGATGCATGGAAACTATATTTGTTTCTATTTAACAGTATTATTTTTTCTTCCTTTTGACGACACGCAGGGTGTAAAATCAGTCTTATAGCTTGCGTGAACAAATC